AAACACGGTAAAAGTTTCATACTATAGCAGGAAGGTTTCATAATCACCAACTGTTGCCTGTACTTCAAGCTACTCTGTATGAACATCAAAGCATGACATCCTACCACTAGGGGCAATGTTTATGAGCGTACTTCGTTTTGTGACATTGAAAGTTTGAGGTTAAATCTCTAGTCCATTTATTTATTGTAATGCAATACTTATTCACTTGAGTATCTATTTCTTAAATCATGCGATGATCGGTTGTAAGTAAACCTTAAGCGTTTTCTATCATACTTGAGGTAGTAGATGCTCTGAAAAAACTAAATTCATTAATGCTGACTTCGCTTAATCTGACCTAATCTCAGACTAAAAGCAATTAAAACAGACTGGAGGCTTGAATCATCCTGTAGTAATAAAAGGTGGGTATACGACGTATAGGTGAAAATCTTGGAATTTTCTGGAAATATTGCTTAATGATGTATGAAATTATATCTTTCGCATAAAGATCTCAGTTTGTTCATACGCCAGAGCATGTCAGATAGTGCATAACTCCTGCAAGACCGGATTTCACGACTCCACGGGCAACTAAGAGTCAGGGGCGGGCGATGCAAACTCCGCGAAAGCTGGTCTTGAAATACTTTCCGCGTTTTCCATATAGTTATATATGGATAATGCATACAATTACATAAAGGCATTAATAAACATATGCATGCAAACCAAACATGTAATTTCTTTACTGAATATACCACGGCATTCGCGTGCAATAATTTTTGCGTATAAGCACAAACATTTTACTATCAGAAAGTTTATTAATATAGTTGGCGCTGGGAATGACAATGCTCTGAAACTTCGGCTCTATGAGTAAACATTTTGACAGTAAACTGCTTATGCACACGCTACCCAATTATGCGACATCGTGTAAAATGTTGTATAATGTAATATATGATGACATACTGTATAATTATATAAACTTTCATGTTATCTTTATCTGACTTGTTCTCATTATGGGTGTGCCATGAACGTAAGTTGACGCTAATCCAGCATTCTTTACTCTCCGCTTTCTGTGTCCCTTGCTAATCAAGAAATATGACCGTTAAATCTTCCCAACGTGTTCTTGGAAGATAGACTCACCATTAGGACGGCAAACCCAGTTTAGAATTCTTCATATCAATTGTTTGTCTTTCATTTGAGCCATATGATCATCCCCTCTTGTTTTGACGCGTTCATAGGAGGCAGAAATCACACCTGTTGCTGCAGTAGTCCGTTGTCCAATTTGTGCTCTCAGAGCATCGACATCCGGCGGGGTATCTTGCATCTTTTTTGCTCCATCGGTCTTGGCTTTGCATTACCATCAGTTTTCCTCAGCTTTAACATCAAACCATCATTCATAGCCATGGAGGATGGCGAGTAGGAGGTCTGAATTCACCGTTATGAGCAGCTCACCGTCCAGTAATGAGGTTAAACATGGTTAAAACTAGTTCATGCCGCGTTCGTTCTTTTGTTCATTTTTCCTTCTAGCCAATTAATGCGGTGCACCTGATGGTCAAAGTACACAGTTAATAACTTCTACGATCTCTTCACGCACGTGTAGGCAGAGTCTTCTGAGCTATGCTCGTTCCGCGTCTGTTTCTTTTAAGAGACTTTAACGTCGAAACTGATGGTGAGGGATTCTTTTTGTACTGTTGGTGTTTTTGTTTGAGTTCCGTGGTGTAATATGCGAAGACGATGCATTCGTCTCCAAAGAGCAAGTGCACTATTTGTCGTCCATCAGTACTAAAATTGTCGTACCAGTTAGATCGGTCGAAGAATGACTCCAAGGCAGCGGCGAGGATCGCTGAGGAGAATCGGCATTAAAAACTCTCCTACTGACTTTACACCATATATGACTTATAGCTTACGCCAAAATTGATCCTAGGCATATCTAAGCATTGATATATTTCAGACCAAAAATGTCCGGACGGCTCCGAAGCACTGCTCGACCGATGGTCAGCGGTACCGAAGGTTTGCAATCCGTATCGCAGTCTGTCTTGCCCGGACTACTATCGATGTGTTTATAACCCAAGTACTGGCAATTTCCAATGCTGCTACGCCGAGCTTGGGGCCCGGTCTAAAGACGCAGGTAACAGGGCGAATATTCTAATGATTAAGGCATGTGCCTTATTCCTCAGCAGTGGTATTTAAAAAGTTATATGCGGCATATAAGTCGAATTTTTTGTATCGTTCTGCAAATAAATTTAATCACTTCGAAACATGAGGTTACATCAGACCTAATTCGCGACTTGTTCGTTCCCCTATTTTTATTGTCTATCAAGCAATTCAATCTCTCTCACCTTGTGAGCATATTTTATAGAGACGGATTCGTTGTTCAGCTGGTGCAATCGAGACGATCCTTTAATCGTTTTAGATTCAGTACTACTGTTCACATTCAGTACCACTGTATTACCATCTTGAGGGCATTTCTGCGTTTTAGACTCCAACCTTTTCTACAACTTTCTTTGCACAGAGGTTATAGCCTTTTCCGGTGTTCTTATTTATTAGACCATTTCTTGTGTGGTTTCCGATCATTCTGAACGTACAAAAATGGTATGTTTATGAGTTTATGAGACAAAAATGACCTCAAGATATCGAACATTGGCGAGGAACAAGAAATTCGTGGCTGTTGTACTTCGGTCTTGATGTCAACTACCAATGCTCGATCATTTTGAGAACACTTTGGCCTTTTAGATTATTAAATATGTATTTCTTTCGTGTTTACAATGATCAGGGCACCATTCGAGAAATAGCCTGTTAAATATGCACACAATATTATTTGTTCCTTTCCCTAAAAGAAGGTAGATGGAAGTGGAATTTGTCCTTCTCATCGGAGTCGAATCCAGCACAATGTTTCAACAACGATGAAGATATTCTGAACAATTGGTAGGGTGTCTGGAAGAAAAATTTTTTTGGTATCCGCTTATATCTTTTTCATCGAAACTAAGGTCTGCAATGCTCCATTTTGCAACTTTCAAGATCAGATCATTTACAGAAGTAATAACTGACGCCATCTCTACTGCAGCGAACTAAAATATCTACTGTAGCTCATTACCAGATTTTAATATTTCGTTAAGGTCATCACGACCAAGAGATCGATTATCCTTGTTTGTTTATTCTCTCCTGTGGTTGGATACAACATTCTGATCAACAGCCTTCTGTTTTCATGTCGGCTGAATATTATCTACAATATGGAATTTCCCATATTGTTCTTGGTGCTGTCATAGTCATTGTCATATGAAGCTAACAGAGCTTAAACGACAGCATAGCCCAGATCTGCGATGTCTGGCTTTTTACAAACAGTACTGATAACAGGCAGCGTTTACTGCTGCGGCGATCATCATATTCATATTTCTGTTCTCAATCAGGTCTGCCTTAATAATGTGTTACAACGTTTTGTATTGTCCTCCTCCTACTGATCTGTGGTCAGTGCAAGGTTCCCAACGTGAAAAAGGTTAAGGAAATATTTCGATTCTCTTTTGGGCCGTTTAGCCATATCAGGCTAAACGCCAGTCTTTCAGCTCATCTGATAGTTTTCTCAACTGCAGCTCGTGACTCGGTGAAATCATCGCACTTTGAAGATGCTTCTTACAGAGCTGTTGGAAGCTGTTTAGACCGGTGATCTTCAGGATGGCGATCTTGGTGTAAATTCTTGTTGCTTGATCCTTTCATATGTCATGCAGTTTGTTGAAGTTCGCTGATACCAGTCAAATGGATCGGTTTCGACTGAGGATAAATTCCGATGATCATAAACCGTTTGAGAGCCTTATCACCGTTGCTGTGTTACTGAAGGTGCTTTTGGTTGCAAAATGCAGGGTAGTCATGCTGAAAGCGCTGGACTGATTTTAATATACCACTGGCTTCGCTAAGATCAAATACTCTAGAACATATGCTACTTTTGAATATTCTTCATGATAATGTAGCCCTGCATTGACTGTCGATAGCAGTCAGGTAGCTGATTGATTTATTGCACGCATTTAGATGCAGATTCTGTTAGGCGAAGGACTTTGAGAAGCTTCGAATTAACTTCTACCAGCTTGTATTAAAAAGAAATCTTGGGAATGGCCAGGTGCTTGCCACAGCTTCAATGACTATTATCAAGCCAGAGTAATTTACAGTAAAACAGTTACAGTCAAGGCAACCTATTTACTTTTCAGGGATTCAATGCTGAGAGTACAAAGAAATAGAATGCGACGATTGATATAAAATTTGCATGCAGAAAAAGAGCTAATTCAAATTCGGTATAGTCCGCAGCTCTTCTTCGAATCTTGTTGGTAGTGATCGTGCTGATTAGGTGAGGTAACACTCATTGACTGAAAGTGCTGCATTTCTTTTTTCTGGTAGCGTAGGGGGACCGTTTAAGTAAGCCATTTATCCGTGATATTTAATATGCCGCTGTGCCTGATGCCTCCTGATTTGCATAAAATTACGTCAAATCCCAATTTTTGTACTTTACATTATTTTAAATTTACACTTGCTTACAGCGCCAGAAGATATGATGAAAAGAAGCTCGTGCCTGTTCGGTCTGGAGGCAGTGATCGACAACGCTACTAATCTGCCCGTTGTCTGTTCGACCCACTTCCCCGGCGTCTGCCCGTTTTCGTCCATCTGTCAGTACAGTCCAAAGTTTTGGCAGTTTGTCTGCTGTACGGAGATCGTCCAACGAATCGCCGTAACGAAGGCTCTGACATGTAAGTCGTGGCTGTTGGCTGATCATTTGTATAAAAAGAAAAGTTTACGGCATTTCAGCTTACTTTCCTGGACAACAAGGCTGTTCCACGGACAAACAATGCTCTTCGGTGTTCCACAGGGCGTACTGTCGAAACCAGACCTGTCACTGTCCGTCTGATCTCCTGCGTTACGAAAACATCTGTGGTAAGGTCTTGGCTTTGAAAATTAAACGACCACGCAGAAAGCGTCAATAATGTACTTAAGTACATTTGACTGTTTCAATCCCTTCAGAATAATTCAGCCAAATCCTCGCCTCAAACATACGGTAGCTTTAGACACGCATAACGAACTATTTATGGTTAAGTAGAATTTCCGGCAATACCTTAGGCTAATGCGAAACAAGAAAATAAAAACCATTAATTAACATTAATAAATAACTCCATAATTGGATAAAGTTGAATAACAATGATGAATATGCGAGCAAGGTCATGACTACACACTTTACACGTTCTTGAAACTAAAGGTGGGAACTGAGGTTGCGGTAGAAAAAAGGTTTCATACCACAGACGAATACCTATTTTGAAAATAAACACTGAATATGATAAATTTTGCAGAAAAAGTCGTTGCAGATAATCAGCACATTGATTCACGTGCGAATACCGCCTGAAAGAGCGTGCCCTTCAAGAGAACGGACCCTAAAGACTAGTATCACGTTACACTTGGAATCTTATGATCACGTGAAGCTGTGGTCAGTACATCGTCACCAAAGTCTAAGACAGTTGTAATAATGCACCTGGTTAGATGATTATTATCATCGTCCTTTGGCGAGGATCTCCGCTTTATCCACTGATGTCCAAAACCTGACTGGAGTTCATCGAACCATTTTGGCCAGGTCATTTTGCACCTTTTTTTGTTTCCTGCCATGAAAAAGCAAGAAGCAACTGCATCGGCATCATTTTGGTGGCATTCGTTAAATTTAAGGAAACCCTTCCAGAAGGACCCTTTCGCCAAAGAGATGTGGCGGCGGCCCGTTCAACTACGAATCATGTTGAAATGCACAAAGATTGCGGGTTTATTTGGCAAATCCACTTTAGCCACCTGTAATTGCGATTGGGTTTCTACTTCTACCCATGATTCACGATCACAAATGAAAATGGAAATGAAAATTGACTTGAATACTTGAAGCGTTGTATTAAGGCTTCAGACGTTTCGTATTAGTCTTTGTTATTAGGCAATGGTCGTAGAAAGTACTGCCTCCAAGAAGCGTTACCAAGCTTCATATTGTCCTCCTTTGCATCTATCACCAAGTGGGAATTAAAAACAAGACAAGAGAGTAAAATTGGAGCATTTGTCCCTGTTCAACTAAGCATTTTTCTTCTTCCTTTGTTTGGGGTGGTGCTTTCTGAATCGATTTCCAAATGGAATACGTTTGATATTGCCGAAAGCTAAAATACATTACGATGAACAATCACGTACACAAATAATAAAATGATACATTGCAATGCCATCATATATTTTTTGGAATGCTCTGCATTCATGAAGCCTTATTAATTTCATACTTGAGTATTTAGTTCGTGCATAGGCGACCATACAGAAAATATCACCAAGCACGGTTCATTATATGCGATGCAAATGTTTTTGGCTATGGAATGATTGACAGGTACTGACGCTGCGACCCCATTTTTACGGGCGTTATTCAAGGTAAGGAGGAAAGTTAGGTTCGAAAGACCTTCTAGCCGGCTGTAGCACGATAAAGCTTTTCGTTCGTTCGTGCTTATGGGTGCGACAAGGCTCATTCAGTCCCCCCTATTGTTCGTATCCTTTGTACTGAATGACGTTGTCTTATGACTGGATGATTCATGCCGCTTTGGCCCACCTGTTCAGCCAGTACGTTTCTATGATGATGACGTTACATCCTGACTACTGGGAGGGAGGAAGGG